GTACGTACAAACACAGAAAAACTATTATTGCTCCTTCCTCTTTGTCTCTCCTTCCAAACAACACTGTCAGCCTGGCCGCCACCCAGACACCTCCTCTACCCCCTGCCCCACAGCCTGGCTGCCACCCAGACACCTCCTCTACCCCCTGCCCCACAGCCTGGCCGCCAGCAACGGGGACCCAGACACCTCCTCTACCCCCTGCCCCACAGCCTGGCTGCCACCCAGACACCTCCTCTACCCCCTGCCCCACACCCTGCCTGGCCGCCAGCTACGGGGACCCAGACACCTCCTCTACCCCCTGCCCCACAGCCTGGCTGCCACCCAGACACCTCCTCTACCCCCTGCCCCACACCCTGGCCGCCAGCGACGGGGACCCAGACACCTCCTCTACTCCCTGCCCCACAGCCTGGCTGCCACCCAGACACCTCCTCTACTCCTGCCCACAGCCTGGCCACCCAGACACCTCCTCTACCCCCTGCCCCACAGCCTGCCCGCCAGCGACGGGGACCCAGACACCTCTTCTACCCCCTGCCCATTAGGTATCTTAAGGGTTTTGGCGTGATGTTATCCCACTGACATTCTGAGAATATTCTAAGAACGTTGCGTAATGTCCCAAGGGAACGTTCTCTGGGGGATGTTTGTGTAGTTCCCTGTAAATTCCCAGGATGTCACTGTAGAATTTTAGAAGTCCGCTACACATTCATTACATATAATGCACTAAACAAAAATATAAACGCAACATGCAACAATTTAAAATATTTTACTGAGTTACAGTTCATATAAGGAAATCAGTCAATTGAAATAAATAAATTAGGTCCTAGTCTATGGATTTCACATGACTGGGAATAGAGATATGCATCTGTTGGTCGCAGATACCTTAAAAAAAAGGTAGGGGCGTGGATCAGAAAACCAGTCAGTATCTGGTGTGACCACCATTTGCCTCATGCAGCGTGACAAATCTCCTTCGCATAGAGTTGATCAGGCTGTTGATTGTGGCCTGTGGAATGTTGTCCCACTCCTCTTCAATGGCTGTGCGAAGTTGCTGGATATTGGCGGGAACTGGAACACGCTGTCGTACACATCGATCCAGAGCATCCCAAACTTGCTCAATGGGTGACATGTCTGGTGAGTATGCAGGCCATATAAGAACTGGGACATTTTCAGCTTCCAGGAATTTTGTGTATTTGTGTATTTTTAACAGAGCTGAGCTTTACTTTGAAGTGCAAATTGTAGGAATAGGCCTACAGGTGAAATCACTCATTGATACAGACATGGTGCCATATCAGAAAGAGGTTGTGAATTCAAATCCCAGGTGAAGACATGTTACTGTATGAATAAACATACACAATGTAATCATGTATGTCAAATATGTAAATTGGAAACACTGTGTGTGGGTGTCCCTAACATTGACAAAAGACAAAGAGCTGTGACTGGATCAGTGGCTCACCAATCAGGGCCTTGATGGGCTTGGCAACAGTAACAAGGGGTGATGTGTAATTAAACTAGGGTGTGTGTGCCCTGGGTAAAACTTGTTGTTGTTGGGAGAACGTTTCTTTGCGACCATCAGGTGACATCCCTGGGACAAACCGGGATCTAGACGAAACATCCAGGGGACCATGACACAACGTCCTGACGACTTTAAGCGACCATTTCGTGACGTCCCGGAGACGTCCTAACGACTCATTATTGTTTGCAGGGTAGGTCGGTCTTCATTTGGATACAATAAATGTTAATTTGTTTTCAATAGTAAAACGTGTCTGATAATTAACTCTGATTATCTGTGCATGTGACCATGTGGGTGTGTGTTTATGCATGAGTGTTTGCAGTGGTGTAAAGTACCTAAGTAAAAATACTTTAAAGTACTACTGAAGTAGTTTTTTGGGGGATCTGTGCTTTACTTTACTATTTATATTTTTGACAACTTTTACTTTTACTTCACTACATTCCTGAAGAAAATAATTTACTTTTTACTCCATACATTTTCCCTGACACCCAAAAGTACTCGTTACATTTTGAATGCTTAGCAGGACAGGAAAAGGGTCCAATTCACACAATTATCAAGAGAAAATCCCTGGTCATCCCTACTGCCTCTGATCTGGCGGACTCATTAACACACACGCTTCGTTTGTAAATTATGTCTGAGTGTTGGAGTGTGCCCCTGGCTTTCCGTAAATTAAAAAAACACAAACATGTGCCTCCAAGCATGTGCCTGATAAAAAACGTTTTATAAGATGATAATGGATAACTTTCGTAGCTACAAACAGACACTCTCATGATCTTGGAGTTCATAGTTAACTAATGTGTCATGCGTACGTGTGAAAAGTAATTTACCTATACAACACAGGAGGCTGCTGAGGGAAGAATGGCTCATAATAATGGCTGGAACGAAGCAAATGGAATGGCATCAAACACTTGGAAACCATGTGTTTGATGTATTTGTTACCATTCCACTAATTCCGCGCCAGTCATTGCCAGGAGCCCGTCCTCCCCAATTAAGGTGCCACCAGCCTCCTGTGCTATACAACATAAGAGCGATAGCCAACAACGCATTTCCCCATGTTACATTGTGAAATGACAAGATTGACTTATAATCAAAACAACTCAATTAATGTCATTGATTAAATAGTTAATTTATTTTCAAGGGAATAATAACTGAGCAGGTGTGAACATGTCAGAAACAAGATGTCTACCTACCCATCTTAGTCTGTCTAGGAAAAGCCAACATAGATTTCAAATAAGATTTGTAACCATAGATACCACAGAAAAACCAACCAAATCAACAGCAGCTCCATTTAATGTGTTTAATGTGTGACTAAGCAAATCATAAATCACAGGTTTAAATACGACATGAATTACCATCCGCATTCATTGCATTTCTGAACAGATAAATGATGAAACATGTTCAAAACAACCACTTCAATCAAGTTACTCATAAATCAATGGCATTAACTATTTTAAAACAAATACTACATTTTTACAAAGATGGAAGGTTAAATCAAAGAAAGACATGAGGCAGTTATACACACACACATATCATTTGCATATTAGCCTTTTCTTCTACAGTTGACCAGCTGAAGTATTCATTTGCATGAGTGAAATAATTTGCATACACAATTTGAGAGAAGCCACTCAAATAATTTGATTGTTGACCATAAAATACCTTAAGACAATTGATTTTACCGTCAGTCAGAGACACCTAAAAGTGGACATTATGACAGAACGCTATAAGAAAGGATAGTTGTCAGAGTTTTGTAACAGAGAAAGAAATCAAAACAAACAACACAGCTGACCAGTTGATCCTGATCAATATTCACATTTCAGTATCATCAAAATCCAGAGAGGACAGTCTAGCCATAGAAACAGGTGGGTAGTGCCACATACTACAAGGCATTTGTTGGCATAATGTCTTTAAAATGGGATCCTCAACAGTTAAAATACATTGTGTACTACATAATGTCATTTATTTTCACAAAGACAGTCCTTTATTTCAATATTTCATTACAAATAAGGGAAACACCTAGTGAGGGAAAAAAGTATTTGATTCCCTGCTGATTTTGTACGATAATGATAGGTTTATTTGAACAGTGAGAGACAGAATAACAACAAAAAAATCCAGAAAAACACATGTAAAAAATGTTATAAATTGATTTGCATTTTAATGAGGGAAATAAGTATTTGACGCCTCTGCAAAACATTACTTAGTACTTGGTGGCAAAACCCTTGTTGGCAATCACAGAGGTCAGACGTTTCTTGTAGTTGGCCACCAGGTTTGCACACATCTCAGGAGGGATTTTGTCCCACTCCTCTTTGCAGATCTTCTCCAAGTCATTAAGATTTCGAGGCTGACGTTTGGCAACTCGAACCTTCAGCTCCCTCCACAGAGTTTCTATGGGATTAAGGTCTGGAGACTGGCTAGGCCACTCCAGGACCTTAAAGTGCTTCTTCTTGAGCCACTCCTTTGTTGCCTTGGCCGTGTGTTTTGGGTCATTGTCATGCTGAGGGATGGAGGTTCTCACCCAAGATTTGACGGTACATGGCCCCGTCCATCGTCCCTTTGATGCGGTGAAGTTGTCCTGTCCCCTTAGCAGAAAAACACCCCCAAAGCATAATGTTTCCACCTCCATGTTTGACGGTGGGGATGGTGTTCTTGGGGTCATAGGCAGCATTCATTTTCCTCCAAACACAGCAAGTTGAGTTGATACCAAAGAGCTCCATTTTGGTCTCATCTGACCACAACACTTTCACGCAGTTCTCCTCTGAATCATTCAGATGTTCATTGGCAAACTTCAGACGGGCATGTATATGTGCTTTCTTGAGCAGGGGGACCTTGCGGGCGCTGCAGGATTTCAGTCCTTCACGGCGTGGTGTGTTACCAATTGTTTTATTGGTGACTATGGTCCCAGCTGCCTTGAGATCATTGACAAGATCCTCCCGTGTAGTTCTGGGCTGATTCCTCACGATCATTGCAACTCCACGAGGTGAGATCTTGCATGGAGCCCCAGGCCGAGGGAGACTCCCTTTAAGAGTGTGTTCCTAATCTCAGCTCGTTACCTGTATAAAAAGACACCTGGGAGCCAGAAATCTTTCTGATTGAGAGGGGGTCAAATACTTATTTTCCTCGTTAAAATGCAAATCAATTCATAACATTTTTGACATGCGTTTTTCTGGATTTCTTTGTTATTATTCTGTCTCTCACTGTTCAAATAAACCTACCATTAAAATTATAGACTGATAATTTCTTTGTCAGTGGGCAAACGTACAAAATCAGCAGGGGATCAAATACTTTTTTCCCTCACTGTATTATACCACATCATTACTATCAAATTGTCTATCAAATTGATGTCTTCTCGTTGGGTTTGAGGGGACAACTAGTGGGTGGGGCCATGCTATTCATGAGAGTCATGTGGTTGGGTAGTCTCAGGCTGTGATTGGTTAGTCATGTTGCTCCTCCTCCTTTAGGGTGACGATGGCGTTAGTATGAGTGCTCACATCCAACTCTTTCAAAATGGTGTCTTCCCCCCCTCCCCTCTATTTCCTCTCCCCCCCTCCATGTCCTCCTCCTCCTCTCCCTCTATCTGTCCAGCGGGATCTATGGTTCCTCCCTCCTCCCTCTCCCCTGCAGTTCTCTCAGGCTGGGTTGGGCCTGCTCCAATACAGAAGAGCAGGTCCTGATCCTTGTGGTGTTGGTTGTGATTTTCCCTGTGGCTGGGAAGTTGGTTGTGGTGGATCTCACTGTAGTCCTGTCTATGGTACTGGTGAGTGTAGCTGTGGGGGTGGCAGTGGAAGAAGCTGAGGATGGTGTGTTTGGGTAGGCCCAGCTGAGCTGACAGGGTGTGGACAGCCTCCTCGTCTGGGTTCAGACCCACTTCCTGGATGAAGCTCTGCAGGATCCCCTGCGCCTCCCGGGACACCCGCAACCCCTCCCCCCCCTCACCATTACACCCACCAACGCCCTCCCCGTTACTCTGTCTGGCCCCCGACCAACCTCCCTCACCCCCCTCCTTGTCATTACTACCCCCAGCCCTACTCCTACTGCCCCGGCCAGTAATGTCCTCTCCCTTCCCATCATCCTTACTACCCCCCAACCAGGTCCTCAGTTGGCCCCCACCCCCCTCAGTCTCGGCTGGTGATGCTGTGGACGGTTGCCGTGGAGGCAGGCGAGGCCCCGCCTGGGGCTGCAAGGGCTGCTGGGACAGAGGGGTCAGGAGTCGTTGATGGTGTTGCTGTGGCAACGGGGAGTGGTGTTGGAGCTGGTGGAGACAGATGGAAGTGAAGTTATAAACAAACCAACGGGAGCTGATGATAGGCCGTGTTATAGGAGGAGAGGGTCAAGTACCAAACTAGACGTATGAACACTATCGTCAAACAGCTACACAACTCTGCATTCAATTATGTACATATGCATGTGTAATGCATGTACATTTACGGAGTAGAATTATGTGTTTGTGTTGTGTGTGCGCACTTCCATCCGTGTACGTGTGTGTGTAGGCTATACACGGTAGACGGACCTGTGTGTTGTCGTTGACTAGCTGTGTGAGTCTGTCTGTACAAAGTTGTTTTTGTGTTTGTATTGACTGTGTATGACTGTATGAGTGTGTGTATGTACAGATGTAGGATCTTAATTTGACCAGCATTGTCATAGCAAAACAATCCTGCAGCAACAGGATTTTAATGTTTAGTCCATAATTTTGCTTGATCTGGATGTTAGGCTATTAGCTGGCAAAAATTAGGCTACATGAAAAGTGCAATAATGTTAATATGACCGTGTGTTAGTGCAGGTTTTCAGTGAATGTATGTAAATCAGAAAACTCATTTGCATTTGCTGCGGCGCAGGAAAATTCTCAGCAACAACAGAGTGATCAAATTAAGATCCTACATATGTACAGGCTATACAGAGTAGACTGACCAGTGTGTTGTCGTTGACTAGCTGTGTGAGTCTGTCTGTACAGTGATGCTGCAGAGCGTTGCTCTCCTGTTCGTAGATGGCATCTCGTTCCGTCTGGGCCAGACTCAGGAAGCGCCTGATCATACATAGGTTCTCCCACAGGGTCCGGTTCTCCGGGGACGGATCCTCCTTCCAGCGCAGCAGCTCACACAGCCAGCCCTGCACAACACAACACACATATCAGAACCCAGTCAGAGAACCCATAGAAAAGGAACCTTTTCAGAACCCATTCAATAAAATAAAATGTTATTCGTCACATGCTTCGTAAACAACAGGTGTGGACTAACAGTGAAACGCTTACTTACGGGCCCTTCCCAACAATGCAGAGAGAATTAAATAGAGAAATAATATAAAAGTAAAACACGTAATAATACAAGTAATAATAGATACACAATGAGTAACAATAACGTGGTTATATACAAGGGGTACCAGTACCGAGTCGATGTGCAGGGGTACGAGGTCATTGAGGTAGATATGTACATATAACTAGGAATAAAGGGACAGATAGTAAACAGTAGCAGCAGCGTATTTGATGAGTCAAAAAAGTTAGTGCAAACAGGTTCAATACCGATATTTCGGGTAGCTATTTGGTTAATTATTTAACTAACTATTTAGCAGTCTTATGGCTTGGGGGTAGAAGCTGTTCAGGGTCCTGTGGTTTCAGACTTGGTGCATCGGTACCGCTTGCCGTGCGGTAGCAGAGAGAACAGTCTATGACTTGGGTGGCTGGAGTCTTTGACAATTTGTAGGGCCTTCCTCTGACACCGCCTGGTATAGAGGTCCTGGATGGCAGGAAGCTTGGCCCCAGTGATGTACTAGGCCGTACGCACTACTCTCTGTAGCGCCTTGCGGTCGGATGCCAAGCAGTTGCCATACCAAGCGGTGATGCAGCCAGTCAAGATGCTCTCGATGGTGCAGCTGTAGAACTTTTTGAGAATCTGAGGGTCCATGCCAAATCTTTTCAGCCTCTTAAGGGGGAAGAAGATTGTCGTGCGCTCTTCACGACTGTGTTGGTGTGTTTGCACCATGATAGATCCTTAGTGATGTTGACACCGAGAAACTTGAAGCTATCGACCCGCTCCACTACAGCCCCGTCAAGTAAGATACTAAAATACAGTATACTATCTTTAGTAAATATACTAAAACAGATATTCTGTGCTTTTCATGAGTAGAAAACAACAGTGTTATTAATGCTTTATATAAAGGAACTACAGTTCAAACTCATAGCAGAACCCTTGTCTCTATTAAGAGCTGGAAAGGGGGAGGAGACAGAGAGGGAAAGTAGCAGCAGGGCCAGGCTCTTGTCCTCTACACCATTACTGTGGTACACACACACACCTGGCCGTAGTCCAGCACTAGCACAAAAAGCCATCCAGATGCAGTGAGCAGATACATTACACAGCTCCAACATGGTGCTGCCTGCCAAACAGACCTACACTAACGTGAGCTGAGAGGATAGTATGAGAGAGAGGAGGAGAAAGAGGGGAAGAGAAAGAGAGAGGGAGGGGAGAGAGGGAGAGAGAGGGAAGGTGGGGTTTGAGAGAGAGAAAGAGGCAGAGGGAGAGAGAGAGGGAAAGCGAGGTGGAGTTTGAGAGGAAGAGAGAGGGGGGAAACCAAAAGAGATTAAACAGCAGCCCAGCAGGGGTAGAGTACCACCTGTCAGTGTAATGGCATTGACCTCAACATGACCTTTACAGAGCAGAACAACCTGATCCCCACTGTAGTACTTTATACTGGACAGGAGAGAGAGAGCGAGAGAGAGCAGGAGAGCGAGAGAGAGATGGATGGATGGATAGATGGAAAGAGTGGTATATGGAAAGAGAGGGACAGAGAGCAAGAGGGGTAGATTGAAAGAGAGGCAGAGAGAAAGAGAGAGAGAACGAGAGACAGAGAGAACGAGAGACAGAGAGAACGAGAGACAGAGAGAAAGAGAGAAAGAGAGCTCAACAGATGAAATCCCTCCATTCCACTGAGGAGGGAAATGATCCCCAAAACAAAAGGCAATAACAAGCTTATGGTTCTGCCTTGAAAACAAGCACAATAAAACCACCAGTGTTTATGTGTGTTGGCACGCATGTGTGTGTTTGTGTGTATGTTTGTGTGTCTGCATTCCTGTGTGTGCATGTGTGTGTAAATAATCTGGCATTTTCTACACAGCCAGTTACTGCCCAATGTGGCTCTGTGTACAGATGGTATCATAAATTCACACACATACAAAATCTGATAAAGGTACTTGTGGGAGTTTGTGTGTGTGTTACGTATTTGCTAATATCAGTCTGAAATATACGTTTCCCTCTCAGTCCAAGAGGGAGGAGGGGAACTATGTTAAAAAATTTAAAAAAATGTATGGGATTGCTTCCATAGGCATCCCTCCAGTCAGTGAGTACCATACCCTCTCTTTTTTGTGTTTGTGTGTGTGTTCGTGTGTGTGTGCGTGAGTACCTGACTCTTGGAGGCGGCCATCTTGGCGAACATGGCCTGAGACACCTTGGCTCTCTTCATCTCCTGTTGGATCTCCTCATAGATAGAACTGTTGATATTTAGAACACATCCCTCGCTCTTCACCCCTCTGTTTATTACTGCTATTGCTACTGGGGACAGCCTCGCCTGCAGGGGGGCCAGAGGGGGAGACAGAGAGGGGGAGAGAGGGGTTAGAGAGAGGGGTAGGGGGGGTTAGAGAGAGAGAAAGTAGGTGGTGCGAAAAGGAGGTTAAAGGGGGGGGGGGGGGGGGTTAGAGAAAGAGAGAGAGAGGTTAGAGAGAGCAAGGGGGAGAGAGAGAGAGGGACGGGATTATCCTTACTATAGGGATGCCTATGGAAACCCGGGAGTGCCAATCTTCAGCCTTGACAAAGTTTCCCTCTTCCTTTCTGGTCTGAAACATCAGAGGAATATATCTTAGACTGGCATGAACAAGATATAACTTCAACACACACACGCCCTTCTATGTCTGTCTGACCTGTGTGGGGCGTGGTGGGGTAGTGTTGTTGGGTGAATGGTTGATAGTGGTCGACACGGTCAGACTCCTCTCTCTCTCCTCCTGGTAGATGCGGTCTCGGACGCCCTCAGTTAGCTGGAGGAAACTCTGCATGGACCGCAGGTTGACCAGGAGAGACTGAGACGCACTTTTAGGATCCTCCTCCTTACGCAGGATCTCAGACAGCAGGCCCTGACACACAGACATAGAAAGACACATTAAGACAAGATACACACCATAGAAATAGAATGACTATGTTACCCACTATCAGGTACATACATCCTAAGAGGGGATACACCGGGGGCGTCGCAAAACACATAAATCACTGTATTAACCTGGGCCAGGGTTCCTCCCGAAGAGAACGTTGAAGACCACTGATTTAAATGAATGGAAGCATCTATGCGTGGCAAGTTACACGTCCAGTGTACCAGCCCTGTAACGTTGACCAGGTCAAGAGACACTCAGACAGATCATTTCTGATAAATATACATTATTAACAAGTTTCGTACTAAAACAAAACTGTCTGAGGGCCATTTAGACAGCACACGTCTTCACAGGTTGTATTTTTCTCTTCAAAGAGTAAACACAGCCAGCTCCAGACACCTTCTAAAGCTCTGCTATTAAACTGATGAGTCCCTTATTAAGTTATTATCTGTCTGCTCCTGCTCTTACAGCAGTCAGAAACGCTTCTGTAAGATGGGGGCTCATCCCTCCCTCCCTCCCTCCCTCCCTCCCTCCCTCCCTCCCTCCCTCCCTCCCTCCCTCCCTCCCCACACACATACACACACACACCAGCAATTAAGCCTTTACACTCCAATTGGGTCCTCACACGCCAAGCCCCGCTCACTCTACCCCTTGGCACCATGCCCAGGTGAGACATTCCTACCCCGCCACACCCCCTTTTACCTGGCTGCAGAGCCCCGTTGTCACGGCGACCGAGGAATGCAAGGGCGGGAGGCTATTATGACAGCCTTTGATAATTATAATGACACCCATGATGATGCTGGTGATAATGATGGTAATAATAACAGTGGTTTAGGTCTCTCTAGAAACTATTCATGTGAGTGCCTTCTAACTGCAGGAGCACAGGACAGACAGAAGGAGAGAGGGGGAGGGAGGGAGGCAGACAGAAAGGAGAGAGAGGTATCAAATGGGGAGAGAGGGAGAAATGAAAATCGAACAAGAAAACTAGGGATAGACCAGTCACATGGAGACACAAAATGGATACAGAGAGAGCATGAAATAGAGTAGGAAATATAAAAAGAGAGGAAGATAGAGAGAGATGGACAGAGAGTGATCAAGAGATTGAGAGAGAGAAAGAGTAATGGAGTGAATCGAGGGATGGAAAAATTGGAGAGGTAGAAACTCTGGGGGAGTGTGATTATAGGGAGAGGTAGAGACTCTCTGGGGGAGTGTGGTTAGAGAGGTAGGGGTAGAAACTCTGGGGGAGTGTGATTATAGGGAGAGGTAGAGACTCTCTGAGGGAGTGTGATTAGAGGGAGAGGTAGAGACTCTCTGAGGGAGTGTGATTAGAGGGAGAGGTAGAGACTCTCTGAGGGAGTGTGATTAGAGGGAGAGGTAGAGACTCTGGGGGAGTGTGATTAGAGGGAGAGGTAGAGACTCTGGGGGAGTGTGATTAGAGGGAGAGACTCTCTGAGGGAGTGTGATTATAGGTAGAGGTAGAGACTCTGAGGGAGTGTGATTATAGGTAGAGACTCTCTGGGGGAGTGTGATTAGAGGGAGAGGTAGAGACTCTCTGGGGGAGTGTGATTAGAGGGAGAGGTAGAGACTCTCTGGGGGAGTGTGATTATAGGTAGAGATAGAGACTCTCTGGGGGAGTGTGATTAGAGGGAGAGGTAGAGACTCTCTGGGGGAGTGTGATTATAGGTAGAGATAGAGACTCTCTGAGGGAGTGTGATTAGAGGGAGAGGTAGAGACTCTGGGGGAGTGTGATTAGAGGGAGAGACTCTCTGAGGGAGTGTGATTATAGGTAGAGGTAGAGACTCTGAGGGAGTGTGATTATAGGTAGAGACTCTCTGGGGGAGTGTGATTAGAGGGAGAGGTAGAGACTCTGAGGGAGTGTGATTAGAGGGAGAGGTAGAGACTCTCTGGGGGAGTGTGATTAGAGGGAGAGGTAGAGACTCTCTGGGGGAGTGTGATTATAGGTAGAGATAGAGACTCTCTGGGGGAGTGTGATTAGAGGGAGAGGTAGAGACTCTCTGGGGGAGTGTGATTAGAGGGAGAGGTAGAGACTCTCTGGGGGAGTGTGATTAGAGGGAGAGGTAGAGACTCTCTGGGGGAGTGTGATTAGAGGGAGAGGTAGAGACTCTGAGGGAGTGTGATTAGAGGGAGAGGTAGAGACTCTGAGGGAGTGTGATTAGAGGGAGTGGTAGAGACTCTCTGAGGGAGTGTGATTATAGGTAGAGACTCTCTGAGGGAGTGTGATTAGAGGGAGAGGTAGAGACTCTCTGAGGGAGTGTGATTAGAGGGAGAGGTAGAGACTCTCTGAGAGAGTGTGATTAGAGGGAGAGGTAGAGACTCTGAGGGAGTGTGATTAGAGGGAGAGGTAGAGATTCTGAGGGAGTGTGATTAGAGGGAGAGGTAGAGACTCTGAGGGAGTGTGATTAGAGGGAGTGGTAGAGACTCTCTGAGGGAGTGTGATTATAGGTAGAGACTCTCTGAGGGAGTGTGATTAGAGGGAGAGACTCTCTGAGGGAGTGTGATTAGAGGGAGAGGTAGAGACTCTCTGAGGGAGTGTGATTAGAGGGAGAGGTAGAGACTCTCTGAGGGAGTGTGATTAGCTGGCCCAGCAGCTGCTCCACCGCTGGCATGAGTTCCTACTGCAGAGAAGAGCTGGGACAAACACACACACACACACACACACACACACAGTCATACACATGCGGCAAAAGGACATGCCAAGAGCTAATCACCACGCACACGCGCACACACACATCATGACATCAACCCCTCCTTCTCTCCCACCACTCATGAATCCCTAACCCCTAGTTTACAGCACAGTCCCATACATCCAGTACCCCCCTGTCCCTGTCTGTCCCATACCTGGGTCCTGTTAAAGGCCACGCGGGCGAACACAGCCTGGGAGATACCTGCTCTCTTCAGCTCCTCTCTCACCCACTGGTAGATCTCACATGAGATGTCTGATGGTCCACACACCTGGCTCTGGGACCCAGACCCGGGTCCTGGTGGTCCAGCCTGGGGCTGGGGGTCGGGGGCCTTGGCTAGGGCCAGGGAGGGGGGAGGCCTCCCCACAGGGGGGTGGTTGAGGAACTGCTGGGGGGAGGTGGAGACAGATACAGACAGGCTCTGCTGGGCTAGCATACGGCTAACTGCATACTGCTGGTTGAGGAACTGGGCCATGACTATCTGTTGGGGGGTGACTAGCTGGGGGCTGAGGGGGGCGGTCACCAGCCCTGGGGGGCAGAGACTTGGGGCCAGACAGCCACGGCCAGAAATGTGGGCGGCTCCCCCGTGAGGGAAGAGGAGGGGCGAGGAGTCGGCCTGTTCGGCTGTGCTGCCTGGGATTGGTTGATGAGTAAAGGTCAGATGGGTGGAGCCCGGTTGAGATTGGTCAGAGAAGCTATCAATCTCTGAAGTGAGGAAGAGAGTAAGAAATAGAGGGATGGAGGAAGAGAGCGGAGTTAGTATAAAAAACCACACCTACTATTTGCCAACATTAGCACTGATGATGACTATAGGTGAACTACCCTTTTAAGCCCTCCTGTAGTCTTACCCATGATGCCTTTGGTCTTCCTGAAGTGCTTATACCAGCGGCCAAACTCGTGGCACTTGGTGGCCGACACGTTTGCATAGTAGGTGCTGTTCACAATGGAGGAGATCATACTCTAAGAGACGGGGACAAAATACAAAAAGTCATAACAGTGGCAGGGAAAAGCATTATGAATACTGATCCACAATCATCAGATCAATGCATAATACAGTAATAATACAAGAACATGTTATATACGCTAGCCTGGGGGACAGTCTATTCTCCTCTTCCTAACAGAGCAGAGGAACTGTGTAATACTTCCATTTGAAGTCAGAATATAAAAAATGAAATATACAACAGTATTAAAAAGAGAGACAAAGAGGTAACGTTTCTCATTTTAAATCATCGTTCTGTCTCTCATTTTACCAGTCTCCATTTTTCTCTCAGCATCTGTTATGAGTCTCAGCTGAACACAGAACGTGTGATAATAATGAACTCAGATCTGTGTTATTAAAACACACCCCCAGGTAAACTCTGTAATAAAGACAGATGAGTGTGTGTGTGTGTGTGTGTGTGTGTGTGTGTGTGTGTGTCGCCTCAACTAAGTGCAATCTGTCGTTTAAGGAACTGAAGCCGAAAGTAATAACAGATCACACACACAGGGTTTTCTCCCAAGACAATCCTGTGCCATCTTTACATCTGATTACACCTTCTATCTTCATATGTATTCTAATCTGCTCCAGAGGGAGAGAGGGAGAGAGAGAGAGAGAGAGAGAGAGAGAGAGGGAGAGAGGGGGATGGGACAACACATAAACATGTACATAAAGAGAGAGAGAGAATATGAAAAGAGAGAAATGTCTGTTTATTAGACCGAGGCTGTAGTTGCAGCCCTCAGGGTGAATAACAGACAGACTATTTTGATTGTTATAAATATTCACAAGACACATCCATCTGTTCTTCTACAGCAGGTGCCTCTACGCTTTGTTCCTTCACCATAATGTGTGTATGTGTGTGTGTGTGTGTGTGTGTGTGTGCGTGCGTGTGTGTGAGTGAGGTCGACTGGGATCAAACTCAGGTCCCCTGACTGCATGTTACAAGACTGGTTTAGCCCACTGAGCTAAAGCCTGGGCTTGCAACAGTGTGAGATACACACACAGACAGGGAAAGCGAGAGATTGACTAGGAAGAGTGAGAGAGAGAGATGGTAGCAGAGGGATACAGTGGGACAGTATATGCCAGCAGAGCTGTATGTCTCAAAAAGCAGCATAGCTCTTTAAAAGATAAACATCTTTACCTTATATCTCTCAGCAATGTAGACTACCCATCTCAATAGGTGTGTGTGTGAGAGTTGTGTGTACATGTCAAAGCTAAAAAAGGTCAAATAGGGGGTGCTTATATTTGTCCTGGTTCACACATGTACAAGTGTGTGGTGAGAAATTGAAATGTAATTTGCATATCCTATTCCACCTAAGACACCCTCGGAGAGTGTTGTCACGAACAGGTGTGTGTGTACGGGCGTACGTGTTCATGCCTGTGTGTGTGTGTACCTGGGACAGAGGGCACTCTTTGGCCAGTGAGCTCTGGTTCATGTCTCTCAGTAGCTCCTTCAGGGCGTTTCTCACTGTAGAGTGACTCCACTGTGCTGGAGGGAGTTCCTCCAACCTGGGACAACTGGAGAGAGAAGGAGAGGGGGCGGGTGGGATAGAGAAAGAGAGAGAGAGAGGAGGAGAGGAAGATAGAGAGAGAGAGAGAGAGGGGGGAGTGAGGGTTAGATGGGGGCGATAGGGGGAAAGATAGAGGGGTGAATGGAGAGGGAGAGGGGGAGAGAGAGACAAATGGAGAGATAGAAGAAGAGTGGGTGGAAGAGAAGTACATTGAAAAATGAATAAATATGCTGTCTGAAATCCAATACAAGACATTACTGAGTACCACTCTCCATATTTTCAAGCATAGAGGTGGCTGCATCATGTTATGTGTATGATTGTAATCGTTAGGTCTAGGGAGTTTTTCAGGATGAAAAAGAAACGGAATGGAGCTAAACACAGACAGAATCCTAGAGGAAAACCTGGTTCAGTCTGTTTTCCACTAGACACTGGGAGATTCATTCACCTTTCAGCAGGACAATAACCTAAAACACAAGGCCAAATCTACACTGGAGTTGCTTCCCAAGAAGTCAATGAACGTTCCTGAGTGTCCGAATTACAGTTTTGACTTAAATCTTCTGGAAAATCTATGGCAAGACCTGAAAAACAACCATTTGCTAGAGCAAGAACAATTTTGAAAAGAATAATGGGCAAATGTTGCACAATCCAGGTATGGAAAGCTCTTAGAGACTTACCCAAAAAGACCCACAGCTGTAATCACCGCCAAAGGTGCTTCTACAAAGTATTGATTCAGGGGTGTGAATACTTATGTCAATGAGATATTTCTGTATTTCATTTTCAATAAATGTGCAAATATAAAAAAAAAAAAACATATTTCCACTTTGGCATTATGGGGTACTGTGTGTAGATGGGTGAGAAAAAAACAATTTCATCCATTTTGAATTCAGGCTGTAACACAACACAATGTGGAACAAGTCAAGGTGTATGAATACTTTCTGAATGCACTGTACCACCTTTTTTTCTAAGAGTGTATGTGCCTGTGTGTGTGTGTGTGTGTGTGTGTGTGTGTTCCTATGTGTATGTGCCTATGTCTCCTGGTGGTAGTGATTAGTTCATTACTTCACACAACACATACGAAACTGGTGCAAGTGCCAGAACCTCTTTGGTTGCTCCACCCCCCTTCTCTCGGCAAGTCTCATGTCTATCGACCAAATGTCCCATTCCCTTCCGGAATTCTAAAGATGCAGAACGCCGCCAAATTGTGATTCATCCTAATAAACAGTGAAGTTCCTCGTTAGACGTCGCATCCTATAGTCTGTTGACAGACGTTAAAATACAATTTATGTTACGTATGTCTGTCCACAAGAGATTCTGGTGTACCTGGTGAGCTGGATCTTGAGGGTGGTGACATGGTAGAGGTCCTGCAGCATGTCAGCCACAGTGGCATCAGGAGCATCAGTCACACAGGACAGAGGGACAGGGTTCCACCTACCCACCTGGATCAAACCTATAGACACACAGACACACAGACACACACACACACACACACACAGACAGACAGACACAGACAGACACAGACACACACATTGTTACAAACAATGACACTGGAGGAAGAGCAGGTGTGTGTGTGTGTGTGTGTGTGTGTGTGTGTGTGTGTGTGTGTGTGTGTGTGTGTGTGTAGTGTACCTTTTGCCTGTGCTGCTGAGCTGTGAGAGTAGCCCAGGGCCAGTAGAACCATCTCTATCAGCTGGTTAAACAGCAGGTCTCTCCTAACCAGTACAAACTCTGCATGCTCCTCTCGCCTCTCAGCCTCCACTGCCGAGACCGGGCTCTCTCTGTGCTCTACCACACACAGCACAGGCAGCAGGCTCCCTGTTATGACGGACACACAGCACAGCCAATCACATCACAGCATTCAGATAGAAGCAGAGGGCATGAGAAATTAATAGGTAAAAGTTGCCAACCCTTGCAATGAATGCACACTCTCTCTCCTCTATTCACCCATTCCTCCCTTTCTCATCTCCTCCCCTCTTCTTTTCAGTCCTACCTCTCTTATGCCAGTTCTTGGGTTGTGTTGCGTGTGTCATGGGTTTGGGGGCCAGGGTGGGGGCTCTGGCCCCTGGGCTCCCTTGTCTCGTCCTGCCCTGGTGTGGCCCTGGGGGTCCCTCGCCAGCGTTCAGCTCCAGGCGGGACAGTTTGGCAGGTGGGGGCCAGGAATCCCCATTACCAGGTGAGTCACAGCCCTCTGACACATGGCCGCCATCACACTGTTGGGGGTCCATCACACTAACACCCAGCCCGTACGCACCTGAGAGAGAGAGAGAGAGACACATTGGAAAGAACAAACAAAAAAACAGAGCAAACTAGAATGCTATTTGGCCCTAAACAGAGAGTACACAGTGGCAGAATACTTGACCACTGTGACTGACCCAAACTTAAGGAAAGCTTTGACTATGTACAGACTCAGTGAGCATAGCCTTGCTATTGAGAAAGGCCGCCGTAGGCAGACCTGGCTCTCAAGAGAAGACAGGCTATGTGCACACTGCCCACAAAATGAGGTGGAAACTGAGCTGCACTTCCTAACCTCCTGACAAATGTATGACCATATTAGAGACACATATTTCCCTCAGATTACAGCGATCCACAAAGAATTCGAAAACAAACCCAATTTTGATAAACTCCCTTATCTACTGGGTGAAAAACCACAGTGTGCCATCACAGCTGCAAGATTTGTGACCTGTTGCCACAAGAAAAGGGCAACCAGTGAAGAACAAACACCATTGTAAATACAACCCATATTTATGTTTATTTATTTTCCCATTTGTACTTTAACTATTTGCACATTGTTACAACACTGTATATATACATAATATGACATTTGAAATGTCTTTATTCTTTTGAAACTTCTGAGTGTAATGTTTACTGTTAATATTTATTGTTTATTTCACTTTTGTTTACTATCTACTTCACTTGCTTTGGCAATGTTAACACACGTTTCCCATGCCAATAAAGCCCTTAAATTGAAATTGAATTGAATTGAATTGAATTGAGAGAGAGAGAGAGAGAGAGAGAGAGAGAGAGAGAGAGAGAGAGAGAGAGAGAGAGAGAGAGAGAGAGAGAAGAGAGAGAGAGAGAGAGAGAGCGAGAGAGATGAGAGAGAGAGAGAGAGAGAGGAGAGATAGAGAGAGATATATATATTAGGCGAGAGAGAGAGAGATGGGGGCGATAGGGGGAAAGAGAGTCCTTGAGTTCATTTGAGAACATTAGGGACTGTTCAAAAAATTTACTGGGGGGATGTCATTGAAAAAAAAAAATATCCCCAACGTTACAAATATTTTCGCATGACCATCCCCTTGAACTGTAAAAAAAAATTGCCCACCCTCCCCGCTCATAACATTAACTAGAAAATAATGACTACCACCACAAATAACAATAACTGTAGCAACCCTGTGTTTATAAACGTGGATATCGACTTGCCCACTTCTGCATGGTTTTGTGGCACAGTTGATGCCACACAAGCTGCTGGCCAGAAGGTTGAGGGTCCGCCGAGCACCACGGACGAGCTCACTCTCCCTGCCTGTCCCATTACACTACGATCAGAGCCGGCTGCAGACAATTTTCAGCTAGGTGGAAATCAGATTTTGATGCTATATTTATATCAAATATATGCAACAAATTTTCCACCAACAGGTTTCTGTGCCAATGCACCACACACAACCAATAAGCAACGCAACATACCGATGACCAACTTTGAGCGCTTCATCACTGACTTTGAGCGCCTTTTAAGATGAGGGAGAATTATTTTGGTTTTTATGAGCATTGCCTTATTTCTATTACAGCATATTGGATGACTGTCATTCATATTCCATTCACCCAGTTCAATGTAACATCGATAGGTTTAGGCTACTACAGGATAATTGTCCCTGTACCCATCATGAGGTTGCTACAACCTAGCCTATGAATGAAAGTTTACAACGTAGGTGCACAGGTCTAGAGAATTTTTAGTAATCAAGGTGACAGACAGTGAGTGAGACGTTCAATAAAGCCTTTCACACTCTTGCCTGCATCTAGCTGATCTAGGGTGTAATCATTAGTCCAACAGTTGCAAATGAGAGTTCCTATTGGACACACTCAGGTATGTTTATCCCCGTTTCGATCCGTTTGCTTCCATTTAAGAAACGTTTTTCAACAGAATTGTTGGAATGACTACACCCCTAATCACATGCAAACAGTTCCCTTTCATAGCAGCCACATACAAACAGCATGATCACTTTGCTCATTGTATATACTGCAGAATTCCTTCTCGCAACTATCTATGCGCTCTCACCTTTTCCTTTCGCTTGTGGACTTCAGTGCACAACACATCAGCTGTCTGTGACCAGGCGAAAAAACCTTTCCAAGCCAAACCATATCATGACCGCTAACCTCTACACACAGCCTACATTGTTGTCATGTCATAGTCAACTAGAACTACTAGACCTAACGCGTTAGTAAACCCGGTACATTTTACATTTAGGTCATTTAGCAGACGCTCTTATCCAGAGCGACTTACAGTTAGTGAATGCATACATGTTGGTTTTTTGTGTGGTTTTTTTTCATACTGGCCCCCCGTGGGAAACAAACCCACATCCCTGCCGGCCAAACCCTCCCCTACCTTGGACAACGCTGGACCAATTGTGCGCCGCCCATGGGTCAGTACAGTCATGCAGTACAGTGTACAGTCAGAAAGCAGTTAAGCAGTTACACTGGGGGCCCCGGTGGCAATACATTAATAAAACCAAAAGCTTACCTTGACTTGGAAGAGTTCCAGTGTTGGATAGCCCTAGCCAGCTAGCTAACATAGCATCCCGGGTGTTTGAGTAGGCTAAACTAGCTAGCTTTATTTGCTAGCTAAGTAAAAGTTTGAAAAAATACAACCAAATATAGCTAGCCAACTCTCTCTCTCGCTTCTCCTTAATTTTTTAAGAAATGTATTTGTTCAAAACTTTTCAACTGTTGTCTTTCTCTCTGAGTTAACTACTCACCACATTTTATGCACTGCAGTGCTAGCTAACTGTAGCTTTTGCTTTCAGTACTAGATTAATTATCTGATCCTTTGATTGGGTGGACAACATGTCAGTTCATGCTGCAAGAGCTCTGATAGGTTGGAGGACGTCCTCCAGAAGTTGTCATAATTACTGTGTAAGTCTATAGAAGGGGTTGAGAACCATGAGCCTCCTAGGTTTTGTATTGAAGTCAATGTACCCAGAGGAGGACAGAAGCTACATTAGCTGTCCTCTGGCTACACCATGGTGTACCCTACAGAGTGCTGCTGAGGCTACTGTAGACCTTTATTGCAAAGCAGTGTTTTAATCAATTGACATGTGAATATATTTAGTATAGTTTTATCTAAAAAGGATAACTTTTTTAATGTTTCACTATTTTTATTTTTATGACATTTACTGAGGAGGATTGTCCTCCCCTTCCTCCTCTGAGGAACCTCCACTGTTGGGAAGGTGTTTGGGGAAAAACATTGAAAATCACTGTGTCAGCATGCATCACAGATTTTATAGAGCTGATAGGCTATATATCTTACCTTTAGAAGTTTTTACTTCAGGCTGACTACTAGCATCTATTGTTGCAATGTCCAAACCAACTTAAAGTATCTACAAAATGAGTTTTGTAGCGACACAATTCGAAAGGAAGGCTATAGCAAAAAAAAACATTTTACTGTTTGTGATTCAAAAATGATTATTTTGATTCCCATGATTCGATTCACCGCGATTTAAGTAACCGAACCCCAACTGCTACAATGGCGAAGCACGTCATTCAATTAGGTCAAAATAATATTTTCATAGGAATTAAATTAATCACTATTTAATTTTTTACTATTTTGAGAAATGTGAATAGGGGAATCCGTTATACAGTAAATGTAATTTATATGGCATAAAAAAGATAATTAGGAGACCTTTTTGAACTGCGTGTCTTATGTCTTGACAGTTCTTTCATGTGCAATGACGCATCAGCTATTCCTCTATGTGCTTGTGGATTTATATTGAAAATTGGTACAGATTTCAATGATTTTATGTGTGGTATGATTGCTAGTTAACCTATTGCAGATCTGGACAAACTATCCACCTACCACTATTGTCAATATGGATAGAGGTCAGGATAGAGTTGACTGTATAGTAAGTTGGCAGAAAAACATAGTGCATAAGAGAAGTACCAAAACACCTTGATAGGGGAGGCTCATGCAAGCAGATGAGTAAATGGAAGGAATTATATAGTATAACCTGCAAAATGGGGAATGTAAACCAAGGAAAAGTGCTCAACAAATCGCCCTGTCACACTCACGGTGGGGAAAGTTTTAGAGGCAAACGTAATTATTGCGCGTCGTCCATTATTGACTAATTGTGAATTTCAACAACAACAACAAAACCTCCCGAATCTCAATCAAATGTATCTCAGGTACCGGTACATCAACAAAAAACGTTGTTTTTTAATCGAATAGGCTAAATCAGACAAACCTGACATCCGCCGCTGGTTTCCTGTCTCTTGAGACTCCGAGATGCTGTTAGTAAAAGAGTACAGTTCCTTGTGTTGATTTCTGTGTCAGTGAGTGAACAACATCTCACTTTCTCCTTCACACTATTTATCGATTTATTGTGTCGATATCAGCTGCGTAGCAACATGCCCCGTCGTCTGTTGCTGGCTGCGTTTTTCGGACCTCTTCAACGGAATAAAACGAGTCTATAGGCCTATAGGTGGTCTAACCGGAATCTCAGTCAAAGCACCCACAGTGACAGACACTGTTCCCGGGATTACGATACAGACCAGCTGGTAGGCTAATGGGTTTCCATAGAGAAACGGGTGAAGCGAACAATACACGGTGAGTGTCATCAGTCTGTCTCAACGGTGTGAAGCAACTATCTCTTCTTCAGTTGGCTGTTGCAACAAACACGCGCGGACAAACATGCGCACGCGCTCCATACCTCCCTCTCTCTACCCATGGATCTACGGGCAACCGAGTTTCTCTGCGCGTTATTACGCTACACGTTTATAGAGAACTAATAGGTAGCCTATGTAAACCAAATGCAACTGTGAGCATGTGGAATGCAACTATATCTCCCCGTGTTTGTTTGTTTATGAGAACTTGAATGAACACAGAATGAGACCTACACGTCTCCACTCTTACAGAGTTGGTTTAGTTTGTACAAAATAACTGTATTTTACCAGACACACTGCACGATATGATGGATATATAGCCTATCTGCCAAGAAATAAAGGATCATTGTGGAATCAT